CGCAGGCTGGGGCCGCATTTGTGGATATTCCCGTCAGCAATATGCGTGCTACAATTGCAAAGCGCCTCTCCGAATCCAAAGCCACCATACCGCACACCTACACGCGCACCAAGGTGCGTGTGGATCGCCTGTTTGCCATTCAGAAGGCCGTTAACAAGGTCATCGCTCCAAATAAGATCTCTGTGAACGACCTCATTGTGAAGGCCTGTGCCTTTGGACTACGAGTACGCTTATTTTCATCTTCTGACGTTTGCCTTTGCATGCTAAGTGTACACTGTGTTTTACTTTTGCTTACTATGTCTGACGAGCCAACCCTCCCGCGAGTTAAGCTGTCAAAAGTAGCTGAAAACACATAGGATGTCTGCCCGTAAGGCTGACCAGCAGTCAGAAGTGTTCGAGTTTCAAGTTACTTTGTTGTCCGAGAGAATGATTAAGTCTTCGAATTTCGGCAGGTGATCACAGGGTTGGCAAATCAATTCTACTGTCAAAATAAGTCAACTTTCTACCTGGTTAAGTTAGGGTAGACCTTTTGTCAGATTACTATAGTAAAGACCTTGAAGCACTTGCTTCAATGAGAGTACAGTATGACTGAAATAATAAAGGGGGTATGCAGCTGGACGATATGAATTTGGTCTATTTACAGTATTTCTAAGTGTAAGTTTATAAATTATGGTATTATAGCCTTCGAGTGATAATCTCCCCGGCCAGTTCTACTGATCCCACTCAGAAAACGACAAATACGTAATTTTATTGACCCAAATGCGATCAAACTTACGGCTCGCAGTGGAGACCTCGTAGCTCAGGCGGCTGTAATAAAGCCTTCCCCCCTGCTTCTGTGGGTTAGAATATCACCGAGGTTGCCGAGTTTTTCACAACAGGGTCGAGTGGATTATGCACGTCTGCAAAACCCCTTATTAATTAAACGTTACGCTAACTGATTTTTTATGCCCCCATAAACTCTGCATTTCTGCACCTAATGCACAGAATTTCCATTTCACATGCTCATTTTGTTGTAGACTACGCCGTCCTCAAAGTTGGCATTTTTAAGGAGGGAAGTATCTAGGTTTTGAGAGAATTTCTACCTCTGAGCATTTTCGGGGTGTTATCACAGATTTACTACTTATATTTACTAGGTATGTGGCGGGATCTATATCTAGTTCAATACACCCTGACTGGTCAGCAGATCTCGTCACTGGAGAGTCGGGACCATTTATTCACTTGTTTAAGCTTCGGAACCCGACCGGGAATCCATCATCAGCGGCGTCCATGGGAGTAACTTGCCCGATCGACAGTTACCGCCTTGCGTCTGGGCCCCGTATGAGGGCGTGGGTGCAATATGCTCATGAAGGCTTCCTTACACTCACCGCTTACTTTGCCTCCAGCTTGGTCAGTTATCGTGACTGTCTTCTTTCTGGTGTGGACGAATATCTTGACTGCTGCGAAGTTGAACTCAT